TACAACAAAGTCACTTTAGAAACTCATTCTCTCTGCCAGGGCCTGGCATGTACACAAGAATTGGTTTACTTGGCAAATGAATGGGAATTGAGGAGATTATATTTTGTAAGGGGTTGAAATCCTGTCATCTTTGTTTCAGGTTTGCTGCTTCTAAGGGTGCCTGTTTCATTTGGAAAAGAAAAATCAGAGAATTTAGAATAGAAAGAAAAATCAGATATGAAGGAAAAATTAGTGCCAATGAAAGCAAATGTTTTCTTCTGCTGGGACACTGCCTGAGGAAAAGAGGGAAAGAAGCAGTGGTCTTTGTGGGGGACAGTGTACTAGGGACAACAGGAGAGGGCATAATCCACTGCAGTGCGGGGAAAGAAAAACAAAGTCTCTGTGCTCATTCCTTTGTATTGCTGTCTATGCCCTGTTGTTGACAAACTGCAGGAGCTGTTTGCAGCACACAGCCCTGGACTGGGCCAGGCACTGGAGATCCCTGTGTCCCACCGTGGGTTTGTGCCCCATCGTTGTTGTCCCAGGGCTAAAATGTTCTTGGAGTTGCCTAAAACGAATATTTTCAAACTTTCTGTTAACTGAGCAGTTGTGAGGGAGCCCCACAATGTTGGTGTGTCTTGCAGGCATGTCCCTGTCATGCACCTCTGAGGTCAGACAACTCATGTTGATGCCTTCAGACTTAATTATCTGATGAGTCACTGAAGTCTGTGTCTGTGCTGTTGAGTTGCTGGGTTCCCAAACTGCTTTCTTTGATACTGAGGTTGTCTGGCACATCTGCAGTGTGAGCTGTGGTGAGATGAGGCAGCCCAGCACAGCAGTGAGGGAACAGCAGAAACGTGGATTTACTGGTTTGGCCCACAGAAAGTGGAATTGATAAATGCTGGAAATAATGGCAGGAACTGAATTTTAAGGTAAACAAGCAGTACCTTTAGCAGGAGGGTTTGCCAGACATGGTTGCTGAGGGGGAATATGGACCTTCTTGCATTCTGCAGCAGGTTCCTGACTGTGACACACATGAAGCAGGAATGACATGGAAAGATTAGATGTTTTCTGGATAAACATCCAGGCAGATTAGATCCTTGTGCTGCGTCTCAGTGTTAAGACATCATGATCTCTGACACTGGGGGCTTCTTTTCCGTACAAAGGCAGTGTTTTGTGCAGGGAGTGTGTTTCTTGGCTTCAAGCACAGGGCTGGTTTGGTCCAGATAAGAGTCTCCCAAAACTTAATGCCTTGCCAGGCAGGGGGAGGGATGCTGGAATGAAGAGGGATGAAATGCCCTTGGTGGTTGTCTTTCTCCAAAAGTTATCTGATGTAAATATTACGTTCTCTGCATAAATTTAGTATAGATAATTGACTGCATCTTGCTTGGAAATGGGTACCAAAGGTTGTTTTATAGCTTCTGTGTAATTGAAATTCCAGGAGGAGAGGCCTTTGTCTTGGAAACCACATTTGAATTACTTTTTTATTGGAGTGTTAAAGCAATATGTTACAATGTGAGGGATTCAGTGTGTGTGTGTGTGTGTCAATAATTACCAGATTTCCACAGTTACAGTGAATAAAGAAAACTGTTGAAAAAGCATGTCAAGCTTTCTCTGAAAAGCAGCAATCCAACAGTTGTGTTGGCAGCCAGGAGTGCTCTGACATAAGCAGAGCCTCCTCCGCACAGGTAGGGGTCAGTGCCAGTGCAGGACCTGCAGGTGAGGCTTGGGCTGTGCAGCCTTGTACCCTCAGTGCTGAAAACAGTTTGTGAAACAAGAAACCAATGCTCCAACATGGGAGTGGGAAAACTTTAAGGAGCCTGTCTGCAGGGAGGTTAATAATAACAAGCCAAATGGCTGGAACAGGAGTTGCCCAGTGTGGTGCAGGAGGGTCAGTGGCTGAAGGAGGGGCAGTAGCCACCGGTGCAGGAGAGCAGCTGAGTGTGCTGCTGTGGGCTGGGTGTGGAGTGCAAGGGCTTTGATGTGCTTCCATAGAAGGTTCTAGTTTTACTCACTGAAGCTCCTTTGTTTTGCAGAGATCTTGATGCAGACGCCCTTTTGGATTTCTTTTTAATAGTGTGTGACCCTTCACCTTTGATCCCTTGACCTGCATTACTTTGGTAACCATTTCATTTTTTTAATTTCATTTCATTTTTAATTTTGGTGTGTAAGCTGTAACATTTCATCATTTTAAACTGTAGCGTTCTTTGACCTCCCCAGATGTCTTTTTTCTTTTCTATGAGGATGCGCAATGTTGCCTTTTCTTGAATAAACATTATTTCAGTTTTTAATAAAATATATATTTTTCATTGGTTTTGCTTCTTTTAAGTTTAACTGTGTGTATGTTGCCTGTATAATACCTCTTTGATCTGTGTTCTCCCACTCAATCTATTTTGATATTTTATGTACATCTTTTCTTTTAATTCACATTTTTTCTACAGTTCTTTTGTTCAGTAAAACCCATTCTCATGGCCTGTCCATGGCCCATCCAAGTCCCCCTGTAGTCAACTTTTATAGCTTAAAGTAACCTTGGGAGCATTTCAGATACATTTACAAATAAGAGCTATTCTTTGCTGTTAAAATTTTTTTTTCCTGTCCTGAAGTTAACTTTTCCTAACCATCAGCTCCAAACTGATAGCTGTTTTAATAAAAGATTAGGCTTCAGACCAAAATGAAAATCTCACTTGAAACTCAATTTGCATTTATTTTTCTGTTATCATTGGAGCCCAAAGAGAAGTTATCAATGCTTGGAGCTGTGCTTTAGGCACGACTGTGCTTAGGGAAGCAGCATTGTGTGTACGTGGGATGGCAAAGCCCCCAAAGCTTAGTTGGTTCTTTCCATTTTCCTGTTGAAAGGGAAGCAGTGGATAAGACAGATTTTGGCCAGATTCTATTTTTATCTGGTAAATGATCATATGAAATCCACTGAGCACAGCCCACTGAAGTACAGATTACTTTTTAAGTGTCTCATTATTTTATTCTCTAACATTTAATGCTGAAGTTTTAATTGCACACAGATGAAGCTGCTAAATGAGCACTGAAATGGATTTAGGTCTTCTCAGAGCCTTGTTGATGCTTATAAAACTTTATATCATTCATTAGGACTACAGATTAAAATTGTAGTGAGCTGTTCACGTAGTGCCACTGGGCTCTGCTGGTGCCTGGCCTCTGGAGGAGCCTGCAGCTCACCTGAACACCTTCCTGCTGACCCTTTCCCCAAGGAAACTGGACTGCATTTGGCCCTGCTCTCCTTTCTGGGGGTCCTGCTGACCTCCAGGGCTTGAGCCTGAGTTATCTCCTTCCCCCGAGGTCCTCTGTGATTCTTGAGGGATTCAGCCTTAGCAGATTCTACCTGGACAGTGGGGATGCACCATCAACACCAGAACCTGATCCAGGAAACAGGTTTGAATTGGCATCCCTGCCTGAGAAAGGTATTTCCAGCACTGATCCCTGTGCTTAACCACAAGATCCCTGTTTTTAAACTGCCCTTGTGTGGCAGAATTGCCTGCTAAAAATAGTGGCAGATCCAATATTCACAGAATTCCCTGCCCAGCGTCTGTGTGTTATTCTGTGAGTTTCTCTGACCCTGTGGCCATGAGTTGTGCTGGACTGTCCCAGTCTCCATGTGTTTGAAGCGTTCAGGTGGATTTTCCTTTCCCCTCCTATTCCAAATTTTAGCTGTAATTGTTTTTGTAAACCAGGAATTGTCAGTTCTGGTAAGCAGACTGCTGCTCCTCAGCGAGCCTGTCTGGGATAGCTGGGATTTGGCTTTGGCTTGGGTTTAATGCTGCCTGTCATCCTGAGAAGAAGAATCCTCCAGAAACCATCTTAAGCCATTTCTCCATTCTCTAGAACAGGGTTTTTAAAACTCGGTGGGAAAAATACTTACCTTGCCCAAGAAAACCCCTTGAAGACTTTTTCTCCTCATAACACATATTTTATGCTGGCAGCATTTAGATGTGAATGCCTTGACTTTCCAGGGCAGCAGTTCTTAAAAACCTTTATTTAAATGTCTGGATACTGAAGGAAATCTCCTTCCCTGTGCAGAAGGCTGACTGTTGGCTGCCTCCTCTAGAACAAATAGCAGGGAAAAAGAAGAAATTGAATAAAAATGTCTGATGTTGGGAATTGGAGTCAACAATAAAAAGAAACAGCTTAAAAGATGGTTAGAATGTCTTGTTTCTTTTTTTTTTTTTGTCTCATTTCATGTTTTGTCATGTCCATCCTGCCTTCTTTCATAAGGTAAGCACTCTGACCTATGGCATTCTCTGGGTGTAGCTGCCAAGGTGGTGGGATGACAGAGTGATGCATGCTTTGTTGTGATATTTCCATGTATTGTGTTAGATGCAGATGGTTATTCGCAGTAATTGGTGTAAATAATATGGGTTATGCCTGTTCAGCTATTGCATGGGCTTCCAGGGTGCTAGAGCTGCTGAGGGAGGAGGAGGTACAGTCTTTGGGAAGGGAGAGATAGGAATTGGTCCCAGTTTCCTCTTAAAAACACAGTAAATATTGGCAGGAAAAGCTGATTTGTTGACCAGCAATAGCACTGCTATTTGCCCCAGTGTAAAATCTGTCCCCAAGTTTTTGCTGCAGTGCTGCAGGATACAGCAGGAACAGCTGACCCTTGGATGGCAAGAGATGATGGAACTTAATTCACTTTACTGAGCTTGTTTTCCACTGAGCAGTAACTCAAATACATGTTTTCATCAAACACTTAATCAAAGAACTACACAAATGCTGCAAAATGTTTGCAAAGCAAAACATTTGTCTATTTAGATATTGAGAGAATACTCTATTGAGAGATCTGTTCCTGCTTACGAGGTTTTTCTGTTACTCAAAGCCAGAATGTTGACAACATCCACTCCTGAAACAAGTCTTAATTTTGAAATCTATGCAATATCTTCTGCTGCTGGAGGCTTTTATCTGTTAACCTTAACAGAAGGCTGAAGGGCTGAAATGAAATTTTTGGCACATATACAAGACTCAGAGCATTGCATGTCTTGCAGTTCAGGTAATGCAGCTGGGGCTGGATTAACCTAATCTGCTTTATTCAACCTAATAGACATCTGTGTGTCATCTGCATGTGCTGCTTTTTTAATAAAACATAGGCAGCAGCAAATTGCTCACTTTGGTCTGTCTGCTTTTGAAAATCAGATGTATTGGTCAGCATAAACTCACCGTTTTCTGTTAACAATGAAATTCATCCAGAGGTGCAGGATGAAAGTACAGGACAGGTCTGTATCCCCTGCCCAAGACTGTGCCTGGGAAAACACAGATTTCCATGCAGCACCTGACCCTATGCAATAAACTGACCAAGTGCCAGCTAACCCTACTGACGTTTCAGGGCTGGTGGGTTCTGGGCATGGATCCTGCTGCTCCCACTGCTCTTGTGCTCAGAGGGGAAGGGAATTCCTTCCCCCTTTTTCAGAGCAGAGCCTGAGTGCTGCTCTGGCCTCCCGGCTGTTGGGGCAGGACTGTGATCCTTGGCAGCCGCTCTGCAGGGAGGTTCTCTTTAGGCTGGGGGTGAATTTCTCAGGCTTATCACCCTGCTTGCTGCTCTGGGTGTATGTTGGTTTTTAAAGTCCTTAAATAATTTAATTATTGCTCTTGCTTTAATCTCTAACTTCTCGACATGCATTAAGGACACTGATGGCTGAGGGGCTGAGCTGGCGCCATTGGGCAGCCAGCCCTGACCCTCTCCTGTGCTTCTGCTTTTCCTCTGCTTCAGAAGTAGAACTGTAGCCCTTGACACCCCTGCATTGGCTTTGTGTCTGCTAGAGCAGGGTCCTCTGCCTGTCCCCTGCTCTTAGCTGCACATTCAGCTCAGAAAATGCTCAGTGATAAACATGTGTTTTTATTTCTCCTTCAGGTTTGGCTTGTCTGCTTTTCAGCTCTTCTAGACATTGGAAATTCCAGTTTGTGTTTATTTTCTCTGGATTCCTTCCCACAAGACAGAAGTGAATTCAGCATGGATTATTGGGGAGAGCCTTGGCTGGGAATAAGGATAATTGCAGCCTCTGGCTGTGCCACAGTTTCACTGATGATTTCTTTTAAGTTACTCACCTGCACTGTATCTGTTTCCTCAGCTGTAAAATGTGGGTAATTACCTCCATTGTAAAATGTTACAGGGTCTGCTGGTAATTATATGAACGAAGTGCTAATTACAGTGATTATCCCTTGGACCTAGTCTAGATCTGGCTGATGTTCCTGTTGTGATGAACGTATGAAACAAATACTACAACTTGCTTTTCTCCATTCTTAGCGAGGGGCCTGGGAGGTGCCCTGTCATGCGATGTGTTCCCAGTGAGAAGCTCTGCTGCCCTGTCACCCAGGTCCCTCTCTTAATTTCTTGTTCCCCTCCACCCTCGTGTGTTACAGGGCTGTGGGCTGAGGAATTACTGATTCAGTAGCTGGATCCATGTATGATCTGATAGCCAGGGTTTATGCTGTGGCTTCACTTTTCCTCTTGGGGATATGTAGAATGCAGCAGCCAGGGAACTGCTCCTGAGGTACCACTTGGGTTGGAGCCAGTCTGTGCTGCCTGGTGGCCTCCATTCCTTAAGAAGTGCTGACCTTGATGCCAGGAGAGGTGTCCTTCCAGTTGTGGAGATTATTTCCCTCCTGTAAAAGCCTACAGCTTCAGGACTTTATTATCAAACATTTTATTTGCCTTTCTCTTCTCCGTTTATTTAGGACACATTTTCTTTGTAGCTGGGAATAGCTCTACTATCCCCTGAGCAGGGCTGGGTAGTGGAGGAAGAATTGATATTCTTCAAGGTAGAAATGTTCTCATCCAGAAATTCCTGCTGCTGCCGCTGGGAAGGTGCTGTAGTTTTTGTTGGTAGTAATAAGTCACATTGTACATCTGGTAGTGATGAGAGTCTTCTCTCCTACCTAATCCCTGCCTTCCCTGGTCACAGACCTCATGGTACAGTAACAACAAAAATAATGTGCTTGTTTCATCTTGCTACAACTCTGCCTGCTCTGTTCTGCCACATCTTATTCCCTGCCTTCCTTGGTTCTGGATGGATTTTCTGCCTTTGCCTCCAGCCTCCATACCTGCTTCCCATCAGCCTCAGCCTTTCTTTGCCCTGGAAGAGCAAGGCTCAGTTATGTCTTCAGAATTTAGTAGCTGAGCAGCTCTTCCTTTCTCAGAGTTTTGACAAGTGCAATGAATTTTTAACTTTCAAATGAAGGTTTTAGTTCCTGACCGGGATGATGGTTTGGAAAGGCTTTCTGGCAATGGGAAGGCAGTCTTTAATTGCAGTTTTGCACCTGAGTTTTCCAGACTAGATACTCTTCTCTGACAGCTTCTGTCTGATTGATTCTAGGGCCTGTTTTTTTCCATGACAGGATACTTGAGTGCACCAGGGATGGGAGCAATGTGCCACTCCTGATAGGTGAAAGCGGTCATTGCCAGGCAATGAGGGTATGGAAAGAGCTTCTTTTGTTAGGTGGAGGAAAAATTAGATGAGGGATTATCATCTCTCCCACAATTTGCTCTTGCCTTGCTTTAGAGCCTCTCTCTGAACTGGAGAGGTGTGTCTGTAGTGTGTCTGTGTTCACCTAATGCTCATCTGCCAGACTTGTTTGAAAATCCTTCATTTGGGAAGCAAAAAATTCAGTTTGTTCCTACAGAAGTAGCATCTATTAAGATGAATAATATGGTGTGAGAGGCTTCAAAAATGAATCCATGTTCTTACTGCCCATTGCACAAGTGAACTGATTCGTGTGCTCTCTTGCAAGCCACATGCTGAAGGATGTTAAATTACTGTGTAACCTGGAGGGTAATCAGTGATTCAGATTTCAGATTTATCCAAGTCTAATTTTGCAGCATTCTTGCAATATCTGGGGTTTGTGTATCTTGGCTCCACTCTGAATGCTGTACATTAAGACTGTAGATAAAACACAATTAAAAAAAAAACAAACTTAAATTGTTTAGTAACATAATAATTATAAACTTTCTCAGGTCTTCTCTTAAAAATAGGTGCAGTTTGGTTTTCATTGAGGTGCAAAGTATTGTGTAAAATCACTGCAACTTGTGACAAAAATGCTTTAGAGTATCTGAACGAAAATGCAGCATCACCGTGAAAACAAAAGTGTTAATGTAAAAGTGGTTCCAAACGAGGTGCTGCTAAATGAAGGTTTCCTGGTTTTAAGAGCAGGTTCTTAAGCAGTGATACACTCCGTGGGGGGCAATTGCACACCCCAGGGAAGGAGCTGAGAAGCACTTTCTATATGTCAGAGATTGTTGCAAAGAAATTTATTCCTTTTTACTACTTTTTGTAATTACCTGTGACTGCTCGGCTTTGCGAGTCAGTAGGTTACAGATGAACAACGCTGGCTGGTTGCAGGCCGAGCTGAGCAGCGGGGCAGGGCCGGGCGGGGCCGGGCCGTGCCGTGCCGTGCCGTGCCGTGCCGGTGGCCCCGGTGCTGTGGGCTCCTCACCGGCCTCGCTCGGTGGCGCCTGCCGGAGCTGCGGGCCTCGGAGCCGCGGGCCTGAGCTGCTGTCCCCGCGCCTCGCCGGAGGAGGAGGAAGAGGAGAGTTTCCATCGCGGCCCGTTTGCAGCTGCCCCCGTGTCTGTACGGACGCGGAATCCCCACAGGAGGGTGCTGCGAAGGCACTGAATGTGCAGGTTTGCAGGGAAGATCAGGGCTTGGAGGAGACGGCGATCGTAGGGCAGCCGCCGGCGCGGCTCGGCCGTGCCCGGGGAGGCCGCGGGGGAGGCCGCGGTGGGAGCTCGCAGCGCCTCGCTCCGTGCTGGTGGGCTCCCGTGTCCGCTGTGGTGTGTGAGCACTGACACTGACACTCGGCTGCTGCAGAGCGTCCCAGGGCTGTTTCCCTGCCTCCTGCTCCTGGCTGGTGCTGGGACCCTTCCCCTGTGAGCATTATCCGTGTCCAACGCATGGCTTCTCTCCAGCGAGCCTTGGAGCCACCCAGCTATTTTCTGTCTGCATGTAGTATGTTTAGCCTGCACAAGTGGCAAAATGCGTTTGCTTGCAAGTAGAGACAGTGTCCAAGTTCTGTCCTAAAATACTTTGTAAGTTGGACTATTTTATTCGGTGCAATCAGATGAGAAATAACGGCAAAACCTCCCTTTGGTTCCTGGCTGTGCAACCCTCTTTCAAATATTTTAGTTAAAGGGATTATTCCTTTTGCATAATACATACTCATGCCAAAAAACTTGTCTGTCTGACAAGGCCAGTTAAGCAGCACGTGATTCTCCCTTTAGCTGTGTGCTGCTTCACCCTGAAATTGTGTGTGATCATTTAAAAGTAAACAACCCTCCACCCTGGGGGCTGCACACATCCGCTCTGCCCCTCACTTCATTCTGCTGCTTTTCACTTTTTAAATAAACTTTTGAAACTGAGAGTTATATAACTGATGAAGAAACTTCTCTTTGGGCTGACCTCTAGGACATGAAGGGGGATTCACTAATTCTGTTACATGGGAGTGTGAGAGCTCTGATCCCTTCCTTTTAAGGGCAGCAGGATCAACTGATGGAGCTGTTGTAGAGAGGGGGTGTAAAATCAGCTACTCATTGCATCAGAGCACTTTACGTGGAAACCTGGGACTGAGATCTTGTGTGCAAGTCCTTGTGGGGTTCCCTGCTGGCCACAGAGGCATCACAGCAAGTGCTGGTTCAGTACCTGGGTTTGGATCGCAGGTCTTTAGATGGAGGATTGTGTCCAGCAGTGCAAGTGCTTTGTGTTACTCTGTGGGTTTGGCACTCATCTGAAAGAGCATCTCAAAAAAACCCTTTTGGTGGGATGGGTGATCCCAAAGTTTGGCTAATACACACTGTGGAAGAGGTGCCTGGCAGCAGTGGGGGCTTTGCCTCAGCACCTGCATGGCAGGACAGAGCTGGTCTCGTATCCGAGTGCTGTTAGATCAGCTGCAGGCTAATACAAATAGACTTGGATTTTGGCCCTGTAAAGGGAGACTTTCAGCTTCCCCTGGGAATTCTGCCTTGGCAGAAACCAGCTGTAGTTCAGTGGTTTCTGTTACCAGGCAGAGTCTGTTTGGATGTTAGAAAATTAGAGCAGAAATTCCTGCAGCAGTCAGCTGTGTCTGCGTCACCTCTGTGACCTCTAACTGCTACTCCTGCAAACAGTTGCCATTAAAGACAGTCAATAACCCCCTTCTGCATTCCATTGGATCGTCTCTTCCTGCCATCTCAAATGAAAAATAAACAAAAGAGCTTAAGCGTGCAACGTGCTAAATAGACTAATCAGCTGTGAAAATATTTTATGGGGGAATCTGGGGCAAGAGCTGTCAGTGGGAGCGAGCTGATTGGAGCTGCAGCAAAACAGCTCCGGGAGGCAGCCATGGGGACAGAAGGGAAAGATTTGTTCAAATGTATGCCTGGTATTTTTTTACCCCTTTCTGAGTAGTTTTAGGAAATCCCTCCCTCTGTAAATTGATTACCTCTGCACATCAGAATGCCTTGGCTCTAAGTACGCACTAAGCTGCTCCTGTGCTGATTTGACTTTGCCTGTTAAATGTAAAACAGGTTTTAATCTTCTCATTTAGATGTTTTAATAGAAAGTAAATGTTTAACTTGCTTTACTGTGGCCTCCAAATCTTTAATCCTTGGGAATGTTTTTAATGAAAGGAAAACCATGCTTTTGTTTAAAGCACAGGGTGATGCTGTAGGCAGTAATGCTGGTGGGGGGTATTGCAAACCCACAACAGGAATTTTTGGCACTGGTGGATCCTGGATTTGGGGATTACGTGCTTAGGAATATGGTGGGGAGAGTAACAAGAACCCTATCTTGGGACAGTCTGTGGTTGGGAAGGGATCTGTAACCATGCTGTCAGTTCAGTGTTGGTGATTCCTGTCCCTGAATTCAGAATCATCCCTATGTTCTGATGATGTTAGAGGGCTGTTGCTGCTCCAGCAAGGGAGAGCTGAGCAGAGCTGTGTGCTTGCCAAGGAAACCGCAAAGCAGGCAGCACTGGGTTTTGTTCTGCATACAAAAGGGGGGTTCTGCTCTTCTGAAGCCACTCAGCTTACTTATGATTTAATTTAATGTAATTCGTTAAAAAAGATGTGTGCCTCCAGGACACACATACAGCTGGCAAAATACTGTGACAAAGTCAAAACTGAACAAGGAGTGGAGCACCCAGTAAGTGTGGGTAGAAACCACCTAGGGGGAATTGCAGACACCTGTGCCTACTTTGGGGCAGGACCCACAGCTGTTTGCCCCTTCAGTTGCATTTTCTGCCTCAAATTAGAATCAGGACTTTATTAGGATAAAAGTGCATCAAGTCCTGGAAGATGGAGAGTGCTGCCAAAGGATTTACCTCTGGGTTTCCCACCAGCCTGTGCTGCCAGAAGGGAGATGCTGCTCAGGGCAGCTGAAGGCAGACAGGCATCCACAAGGAAGTGCTTCATAAACAACTTCCCTCATTGGAAAGCCAACTGCACCGATAAAGCTTTGGCTGGGTAAATAAAACGCTTTGATTTCCAGGCCTGTCTTATGAGTTGTAGAGCTGTAATTGTGTAAGTGCCAGGGTTATAAATAGTGGGTGCAGCTGGCAAGCCCCAGCCATGGCACACCGCAGCACCAGTGCTCCGCAGTGAGAATCAGGAGCATTGTTCTCATTTGGGTTTTGGCTTCTCCTTTTGCACTCCACGCTTTCCCACCTGGGTTTGCAGGGACTGGTTCCTGTAGCCAGGCCTGGCTGTCCTTTATGGGACCTGGACCAGCTTGGATGCAGGAGCATCCTGCAGCACCTGGATTTGTACCTGATCTGTGCATCACCTGGGCCGTGTGCAGAAGGCAAGGAGAAGAAAACTATTGGTAAAATAATAAATGGACTTCAAACTGAAACAGTTCATTATTGCAGTGTCAGTACACTGAACAGGCTGGTGCTGCATCACAGGTGTGTGGATGCCTGTGGAAAATGGTGTCATAAGGGGTGTCCCAGCAGTACCTGCAGTGAAGGATTTGCTGTTCTCCACAGGATGACTGCAGAGCAGTTTGCATACATCCATGGGGAAACAGAGCTGCTCCTTCACTGTGCACCAGAGGGATGAGTTAGGTTTTACAACATAGTAACTTAAATATTTAATTTTCTGAGTTGTCATTCTAATTAAATTAATATGCTTTTTTTTCCCCTGTTTCTCTTTTTCTTTTGACGTTTTCTTCTCTTTGATCAAAATCCTAATAACCCTAATAGGTCACAGGCACATGAAGATGCTGGGACAGCGCTAGGGGCTGAGGAGAGCAGCGCCGGGGCTGTGTGTGGAGGGTTGGGGTGTGGCAGGAGGACAGTGGTGGAAATGTTTGTCTTCCCTGTGGGAGTGGGGTTGAAACGCTACATCAGGCACGTGTCACCAAAATAATAAAAATACTATGAAAGCAATCAAGTATGCGTTACCCACTTGGCGTTGTTACAGGCAGCTCCTCCCTGTGCAAGGCCAAGCCATTCTGAATTCTTCCCCCGGGATTTGGTGTTAAAACATGTTCGCTGCCAGCTGACAGAAGAGTCAAGCTCGGATTTATTACACCGGCACCTGCAGTAAAAAATGACAGATGATGCGAATGTATTTAATTATCATTCAACGCCACATCTCTGCTTGCTCCGGTCGCGGGGCTGCAGCTGGCACACACTTTAACTAAAGTCAGTGCGCTTATCTGGAGAGGGGCCCGGAGGAAGCGGCCGGGGGGCACCGGGCTGGGCAAAGGCAGGCAGGTCTCTCCACAGCTCCTCACTCGCCCGTGCCCCATCCCGGCCCTCCCCAGCCCCGCTCCGCAGGGAATGTGCTCTCCCAGCCGCTGCTGGCATCCCCCGGGGTCCCTGCCAAGGGGGTCCCCGATGGCATCCCCCGGCCCAGCGAGCGGGCACGGCCGTTCCCACAGCCCGGAGCGATCCCGCGTCCCGAGGGCCGCTGCGCTTTGCAGCAAGGTCAGGGGGACACGGCGGGACTGCCGCAGCGGCTCCGGCAGCGCTCCGTGTGCCGGGAGACACGGAGCGGCGGTGCTCTGGGCAGCTCTGCTCTGTGGGGGTGTGTGTGTGTGTGTGTGCAGTCACAGGGACGTGCAGGTACAGAGACACATGCCAGAACGTGTATGTGTGGTGTGTGCAGTTACAGGGACATGCAGGCACAGAGACACATGCCAGAATGTGTGTGTGTGCAGTTACAGGGATGTGCAGGCACAGAGATACATGCCAGAACGTGTGTGTGTCTTGTGTGTGCAGTTACAGGGACATGCAGGCACAGAGACACATGCCAGAACATGTGTGTGTGTGCGCATGGTGTGTGCAGTTACAGGGACATGCAGGCACAGAGATACATGCCAGAATATGTGTGTGTATGTGTGTGTGTGTGTTTGCAGTTACAGGGACGTGCAGGCACAGAGACACATGCCAGAATGTGTGTGTGTGTGTGTGTGTGGTGTGTGCAGTTACAGGGACATGCAGGCACAGAGATACATGCCAGAATGTGTGTGTGTCTTGTGTGTGCAGTTACACGGACGTGCAGGCACAGAGACACATGCCAGAACGTGTGTGTGCATGGTGTGTGCAGTTACACGGACATGCAGGCACAGAGACACATGCCAGAACATGGATACACATGTGTTTGCACAGATAAACGCATACACACGACACATGCATACCACAGATAGACACATGCATACACACACACACCTGCATACACTCATGCACACGTGCATATTTGGCATGTGGGAGGTGGCCCAGGTGCTGCTGCCCAGCTGCCTGAGCCCCAGATTCCATGGCCTCTCCCAGCTGCTGTTAGTCAGCACTGATGAGGCTGCCGGGGGAACTCAGACAAGCCTGGAGCTTGCCCAGGACGCTCTCGCTTTCCTGGGGTGTCCCTGCAGTGCAGAGCCTCGTATGCCCTCAGCCCTCGGTCCCCTGCCATCACCCTGTGCCCCCCTGGGTGCCAGTGAATGCTCCTGGTCAGGCAGACCTATGGGCTGCAACAAGCTGGACCGTTTTTTTTTTGGTTTTTTTGAGGAGGAAAAGGCAATCCAAGGTGAGTTGGGCGATTCCTGTTTCCCTGAGGGATGAAGATTTGGGGTTGTTGAGGGGGGGTGTCCTGCTTCCCTTCCTGCTTTGTAGGAGGAAAAGCTGCTGTTGGGGTTTCGTTATCGCTTGTTTGTTGCCTGTGCTCACCAAACCGTGCAGGGAAAAGGGGATTTGGGGAGGATTAAAATATCTGATTCTTGCTGGTTACTGAGCCTTTTGGATGTGAGCTCCAGCAGCTTTGAGCTGCATGGAGCAGACATGAGTAGAGGTGGTCAAAGGAACTGGCCAAAAAAGAAAACAGAAAAATCTGATTTTTTGCAAAGCTTATAAGAGGAAAACGGAAGAATTTTGATCTTGCCAAAATACTTTTGACATTGGAATTTTCCTTGTTTTTGATAATGATTTAAAAATCCCACTTAGTTGAAAGCAAAAACTAAGAAGCCATCTGGAAATGAGGGGTTTTCCTCAGTGCCCTGTCACAGGGAGTCCTCACTGCTGTGTGCAGAACAGGGACATGTTTACTTTTGGGGGACGCTTCTGGCATGAGTATCTTGCACACCAAAACTCACTTGTTTTTGGTGGATGTGGCGTTTCCTCTGAGGGTTTTGGCCAGAGGAGCTGGGCAGGCACATAAAGCTGTGCTTGTGTGTGCTGCTCTCTCTTAACCACACCAAACCCCACATTCAGAAGTGGAGTAATCAGCTGGGGATATTTCAGAGCGGGTGGTGAAACGAGGTAGTTTTTAGTATTCATGAAAAATGCTTGTGACAGCCTTACCCCAAGTAATGAGCAGCCACCTGCAGTTCAGAGCAGTGCTTGATAATGCTGTAATTAGATTGGAGATGCAAAAAAGCTCATTAAAATTAAATAACATATTTGTCACTGTTTTAAGAGGTGCAGATTGCCTCGAACCATGCTGGTCTCTTGACCTTGAGTATTTTGGCATAGTCCTCACTGTTGAGCACATTAAAATAACGTTGGAGCATCCCACAGGCAGGTTCGTGGTGGGGATTTCAGCACAGGGTTGCAGGTGCTCACCTGCCCTGGTCAGATTGTTTGGCACCTCCCCATACAGGGCCGTGCTGCCAGCACCTGGATGGTGCAGAGGAACACAGGCTTCCAAAGGCATGGCTATCTACCTCTTCAGTTTTTTAAATACAGTAAAATGAGTTTTGAGTTCC